CGGGCCCGGCCGCCGCCTGCTGCTCTCCACCCCCATCTTCTACGCGAACGGGCCGCCGCACATCGGGCACCTGTACTCGGCGCTGCTGGCCGACGCGCTGCTCCGCCACCGCCGCCTGCGCGCCGCCGGCCCGGCCCGGCTCTGCACGGGTCAGCGAGACCCCCGGTCCGAGCCCCCTTCCCCGGGGATGACCCCTCCTGCCGGGGCTGACCCCCCTCCCCGTGTCCCCGGGCCCCTGTGTCCCCGCGGGGCTGCGGGCTCCGGCCTCTCCCCACGGCCCCGCCGCCTCTCTCCGTTTCAGGGACCGACGAGCACGGGCTGAAGATCCAGCAGGCCGCGGCCGCGGCGGGGACGTCGCCCGCGGAGCTCTGCGAGCGGGTCTCGGGGCTCTTCCGCCAGGCCCTGAGCCGGGCCGGCGTCGCCTACACCGACTTCACGCGCACCAGCGAGCCCCGGCACCAGCGAGCCGTGAGGCACTTCTGGGGTGCCCTCCGCGATGGGGGGGTGCTCTACAAGGGCGCCTACGAGGGCTGGTACTGCACGCCCGAGGAGAGCTTCCTGCCCGAGAGCCAGCTGGCCGAGGGCACGGACGCCCAGGGCCGCCCCTGCAAGGTGTCCTTGGAGACCGGCCACGAGGTAACGGGCTGCAGGGCACTGCGTGCTCACCTGCCGCTCTGCTCCGGCCAGATTTGGGGTGCTTAATGCTTCCCGTAGCCTTTTATTTATTCATGTTGGCTGAGACTCACCTGTATTTCAGTGGAGTGTCAGAGAGCTGTCAGACCCCCCCCCCCGGCAGATGCACATTGCGGCTATGTGCAACGGGAAGGATTCAGACCCTTCTGAGTCCACAGGCTGTTGCCTGGGAATGGTGTTCTGCAGGAGTGATGACAGAAGCTGAACAGGCGGATAAGGGTGTATTTCACTGAGGGGTTCCAACTTTCAGACCTATTTTGTGAGAAGTTCAGTTTGGCCTCTGGACACTTACCCATCTCTTAAATGGGTTTTGCCCCTGCCTGAAGCACTGTAACATCACCTGCCTGTGGTCAGCCAGAATGGGCGTGCCCAGGAGTCTGGTTCCTTCCCAAGGGTCTCTCTGCCACTGTTTTCTTAGAAGGTGTGGAGTTACAATATTTAATCCAGCCACTACAGAGTGGCTCAGCACAGGTTATCCTGCTCAGAGCTCAGCACAGGTTATGCTCCTGTGCTATTTGTATGAGGCTGGGATGTCGGAGCGTTGGTCCACACAGAAAAGGTTATATGGGCAAATAGTAACTCTTGAGAAAGCACCTAGGGTATAATTGGGGAAAAGATAAGTTTCCAAGCAAAGCAATCATTCTTTAGATTTAAAACAGTCAGCAGACTTCAAAGTCAAGAATACCCTGAGAACAGTTCCTGGCCTCGCCTGTGTGTGAGCTGTCCAAGGAAATAGGAGTGTTCATGGAGCAGAGAAGCTCTTGCAGTGTGGTGAGCAAGGATGGGAGGGTTTATTTCCAACCTGAAAGAGGCAGTTGGGCAGTTTGTTCCTTGGGAATTTTGTGAAGGAGAAGGGGGAGTTTTCACATGCCATAAACTCCAGACTTCTGGTGAGTGAGTGGGTTCTGGCATCCGGTGGAGCCTGGGGCTGAGGACGTACAGCTTGTCTTTGATGATGCTCCTTAGGTCTTCCTGGTACACTGCAAGATTGCTGACCCAGCCATGGATCACTGAGTGCCTTACACAGCTCACCCGTACCACATCCACCCACCACATTTTCACTGGTTTAGCTAAATGTGTCATTTAATGGATTTAACTGTGGGGGAGAAGTGCTGTCAGTGCTGTAAGCAAACATAGTTAGTGACTTAGATGCATTAAAGCATAAATTGAGGAAAAAGAGGAGTATGGCCCCAGGAGAACAAAGGCAGGCATCAGGAGTGGCAGTAGGGCAAGACTTACAGTGTCATTTTGTCTTTTCATGATTTCCCAGTATTATTGCAAAACGATGTTGTTAAGAAGGTGTATTCTCATCTCCCTAACTCCTTTCTGATGTCACATCAGCCTGGCAGGTAATCCTTCCCAGCGTTACGAGTGTTTTTAGAAGCAGGATGCTGAACCATCCCAGGTGCCTGAGTCCTCAGGTGTGTTCCTGGGGATCCCTGAGGCAGTATCTTGGGTAAGAAGGTTGCTACTAGTCACGGAAAGGTGCTGACAGCTTCCCATGGCATGGGAGGACACCCAGATGCAGGCAGTGTGCGACAGCCTCCATGCTGAGAATGGTGTGTGCACGTTGTCAGCCTGTTCTTGGGGCCATAATCGTTTCCTCTCCTGCTGTCCCAGGTGCACTGGACCAAGGAGGAGAATTACATGTTCAGGCTCTCGGCATTTCGGGATCCCTTGCAGAACTGGCTCCGGGACAACCCACGTGCCATTTTTCCTGAGCCTTTCTACCAGTGCGTGCTCCGTTGGCTGGACGAGGACCTGCCAGACTTGTCGGTGTCCCGCGAGCGAAACCGGCTGCAGTGGGGCATCCCCGTGCCCAGTGACCCCACCCAGACCATCTACGTCTGGGTGGATGCCCTGGTGAACTACCTGAGCGTGGTGGGGTACCCTGAGAGCCACGGCGCGTGGTGGCCGGCCGTGCACCACGTCGTGGGCAAGGACATCCTCAAGTTCCACGCGCTGTACTGGCCGGCGCTGCTGCTGGCGGCAGGGCTGGAGCCCCCTGAGCGCATCCTGGTGCACTCCCACTGGACTGTGCGGGGCCAGAAGATGTCCAAGAGCCTGGGCAACGTGGTGGACCCCGGCGTGTGCATGGGGCAGTATGGCGTGGACGGGTTCCGGTACTTCCTGCTGCGGCAGGGCGTCCCGGAGAGGGATTGTGACTACTATGATGAGAAGGTGGTGAAGTTGGTGAATTCAGAGCTGGCAGATGCGCTCGGGGGGCTGCTCAATCGCTCAACAGCCCCCAGCATTAATCCCAGCAACACCTACCCCTGCTTCTCAGAGCCCTGTTTCCCAAAGGTCCTGGATTCCGGAGAGGCAGGAGGCACAGGCAGGGCGTGTGCTGAGGACTACAGGCTCGTGGCAGCGGTGGCCTCGCTGCCTGTGCAGGTGGACACTTATTTCGAAGGCTTCCAGATCTACAAGGCTTTGGAATGCATTGCCCAGTGTGTGAGGCAGACCAACGGCTTCTTCCAGAGGCACAGGCCTTGGAAGCTTGACCGAAGGGATGCTGCGGAGCAGCTCTGGCTGGACACCATCCTGCACGTCACGCTGGAGTGCCTGCGCGTGTACGGGACGCTCCTGCAGCCCGTGGTCCCACACATGGCAGACAAGCTGCTGTCCCGGCTGGCTGTCGGGCCAGGAGAGAGGCACCTCTCTGGTCTGGCGTTCCTGGCACGCTATGATGGAAAGCCATGTCCCTTTGAGGGGAGGCAGCTCGGACCTGACACTGGCATCTTGTTCCACAGGCTGGGCAAGTTGGAAACTATGAAGAAGAGAAAGCAAGAAGCTCAAGTCCCTGACAAGCAGCTTCTGTGAATAAAAAAACTTCCAAGAATTCCTGGAAAACATTGTTAAAAGTACTTTCCTCCCATTCCTGGTGGTGGTGTGGACGGGTGGGAAACTGGCCTGAGCAGGGAGGATCAAGCAAGCCCTGAGGAGAGAAGGGCTTGGTCCTGGGTGTCCTTGGTGTTGTGTCCTTGCACAGGGAGATGGAGGAAGGGTCGCTCTGCAATGTCCTCATCTCACTTTTGGTCCACAGGTTTTTGGCCAGGTTAGAAGTAGCTGGGGGTGGTCAGAAATAATTCTGGGGGCCCTGGCGCCCATTGGGTCTCTCAGCTGGGCTGCCTTTGTGGGCCAAAACTAGTCTGAGTGAGCCTCAATGGAGACAACCCTGTGTGGCTGCTCTTTATTCCTAGGGCAGGACAGTACCATGGTCAGACAATATGTCTCATTCAGCAGTGCAGGACCTGCAGATGTGACTAGAATGGGAAAGGGGGGCATGTGTTTCATCAGACTCAGCTTTCTGAGGCTTTTCCAGTTGCTGCAAGGCTTAGTGCACCCTGTTTTATGTCCATGCTGCTGGAAGCAGATGAGCACTGACACTCTGGGGTGGTGTTGAACACTGGGAGTCTCTGGTAAATCCTTCCCAGCCTGTGGTTCCTGCAGGTCCCATCAGTGCTAGCCCTGGAGGAGTCACCTTCCAGAGGCCCATTTTGGGGGTCTTTGGGTTCTTTTGGGATCACCTGGGCTGCGTGAGCAGGAGCCATGCCCCATGTTCCAGTCGGTCCCCATGCCACTGTTGCGGTGCCACTGCCTGATGCTGTCCCAGTCCAGCTGACCTGAGTCCCCTCATTCCCTCCTGCCATGGCTCTCCTCCTGCAGATTGTCACCTGCACCCTCACTTCTGCAGTCCCTGTGTGCGTGCTTCCTGCTGCAGCCCCGTGCCCTCGTGCCGTGGGTGCTGGCTCCCCACTGCCCTGTTTCTTGGGGCAGGAGGGACACGTCCCCTTCCTGGTCTCTCTGATGCTGGCACATGGGGCTGTGGCTGCCCAGCTGGACATGAAGAGGGTCATTGTGGCACCGGCGGTTGTGATCCCACTGCCGCCTCTTGGCACTGGCGCCGTGCGGATGTTGGTGCCCCTCGGTCTCTCGCTCCCTCCCGGAGGGGCCAGGCCCGCTGCCCGCAGCCCCGCCGGTCCCCGCCGCTCCTCTGGGAACGCTGGCGCCGGCCCGGGCTGAAGGCTCTCGGTGCCCGGTCTGTGGCTCTGAGCCGGGCCCGTGCCGCTGCGGAGCCGGGAGCGTAGGGCGGAGCCGCGCGGTGCCGGTGCCGCTACGCGGGGCTGGGACGGGCCGTGCCGGAGCCGGTGCGTGGGGCGGGACCGTGTGGTGCCGGTCCCGGTACGTGGGGTTGTACCGGAGCCGGTCCGCGGGGCGGGACCGTGCAGCGCCGTAGCCCGTGTGTGGGGCGGGGCTGTGCCGGTGCCGGTGCGTGGGGTGGAGCCGTGCTGTGCCGGTGCCGGTCCGCGGGGCGGGGACGAGCTGTGCCGGAGCCGAGGTGCGGGGCGGAGACGAGCGGTGCCGGTGCCGCTATCCGGAGCTGTGCCGGTGCCGGTCGGCGGGGCGGACCCAGTGCCGGGCAGCGCCGTAGCCGGTCCCCGGGGCGACGCGCCCCTATGAGCCTGTGAGGCCGCAGCGGTGCGGGAGGGATGGCGGCGGGCGGCGGCGGAGGGCGGCCGCCGGGCCCCGACCCCGCGCTGGAGCCCTACGTGCAGACCCGCATCTTCAAAATCATCGTGATCGGAGACTCCAACGTGGGTAAGACGTGCCTGACCTTCCGCTTCTGCGGGGGCACCTTCCCCGGCAAGACCGAGGCCACCATCGGCGTGGATTTCCGCGAGAAGACGGTGGAGATCGAGGGGGAGCGCATCAAGGTGGGCCCCGCACCGGCTCCGGGCTGGCTCGCACCAGCCCCGGAGAGACCCGCTAAGCCCGCGGTGGGTCCCACACCGGTACCAGTGGGCCCCGCTCTATCCTCCGTGAGCCCCACTCTGTCCCCGGTGGGCCCTGCACCGGCCCCGATCTGCAGCCCCAGCAGCGATGGCAGCCGGTCCCCATCCCTGCCTCTCGCCAAACCCCTCCTGGGGGCTTTTCCTTTCATCCCAGTTGGAGGGAGGGAACACGGCCAGGGAAGAATTCTTGTCCCTGTGTTGCAGAGATGGCCCTGGACCAGTCCCTGCTGCCTTGTCGCTATTTCTGGGGTTGGCTTGAGCATGCAGAGATCAGAAGTGATGGCTCCGGGTGAGTCACTGCCACCCTTGCGATGGGCACAGCTGGATCCTCGCAGCGTTGGGGTGGCTCCAGCTCCGGATACTGGACCAGCAGAAGGGTAGAGCTGCTGTGGGATGGGGACAGGACTCTGTGCCACAGCCAGGGGGTCTGGGGGGGCAGAGGGCGGTGGGCTGGCAGCAGCCACACTGGAAGGCTGAGAGCTCACACGGGCCAGCGGCAGCGGGCTCGGCCGCTGTGGCAGCAGCGGTGCAGGAACCTGCTCCCAGCTGCACCTGGAGCTGTGATTGCAGCAGGATGAATTTTCTTATGAACGCTGGTGTGACATCTGTAAAGAATGATCAGCCCAGACCTGAAGAGCTCTGGCTGGTGTGTCAGAACAAATCTGGCACTGGTGGGAACTACCCAGGAGCAGAGTTTGTGGTGGAGCTTGGCCTGGACAGCTGTGGGGATCAGCACCCACAGCCCCTGAAGAACAAACATCACTGCTGATCAGAAGTTGAACTCACAATGACACCAGACCTTGTGTTGGTGGGTGAGAGCTTTGGCTGTGCTTCTAGGCTGTCCATGAATGTTTTTCCCTCTGTTCTTTAGAGGTGCTCATCCTCCCTGCCCTCCCCAGCTCTGTCCAGCCCCATGGAGCTGTGCCGGTGTGAGCTGTGGTGCGGGCTGGCATGGAGCCTGTTTGCTGCCACTATCCGCAAAATGTTGCCAGGTTTTCTACCTTTGGATATTATTTGAGCTCCAGTGGGCAGGAGTAGGAGGTAGTGCAGCAAACTGGCCTTTTCCTGGAATATGTATCCTAGAGAGGGAGTGAGAGGTGGGACAAGGACCCTCCTTCTCTTGCTCTGCCTGGGAGAGACTGGCCCTGAATGGACTGAGCAGCAGCTCTGCTCTGCCAGCATTTTTCAATTGGAAAGACTCTGAGGCAGGTACTGTCTCCATAGGTACAGGGCAATTTGGATTAACCTGGAAATTGCCACTCGCAGGCTACAAAACATTTCCAGGAGAACCCAGACTGACCCCTGGGGCATGCTGCTGGTTACCAGTGTTCAACCAGACTTAGTGTCACTGACCAGCACCGTCTAGCCTCAGGCAGTTCCCAATCCACCTCATTGCCTGCTCATCCAGCCCAGAGGCCTCCTGCCATCTCTGTCACTTGGGTCAGGAAGTTGTCATCGATGGTGTCCTGGAATGTTCTGGATTGCCTGTGCCCTGCTGTGCTTCCTTCCATGAGGTGTTGGGGTGGCTGAAGCTCTCTGTGAGAACCAGGGGCTGCAAACACAAGGCTGCTGCTCACTGTCCACAGAGCACCTCACCTGCTGGCTCTGCCTGGCCAGGTGCTCTATAGCAGAGACCCCCTACAATGTCATCTCTGATGTTTTGTTTTTTAATCCTCCCCCATGAGCTCTGTTGGCTCCTCACCCATCCCCACAGCGCTCCTGGCCCTCCCACTGTGCTCCTACACAAAGGGTGGCTCTCCCTCCTCATTTTCTCTTTTCCTCTGTGAAATCATCAGCGTTCTCAGTCATGGCGTAGGATTTGGTGCGCAAATAGACTTGGATCTGTTGGAGTGAGTCCAGAGGAGGCTGCAAAGATGCTCTGAGGGCTGCAGCCCCTCTGAATTCAGGCTGGAAGAGCAGGGGTTTTTCAGCCTGGAAAAGAGAAGCCTTGGGGGAGACCTCAGACCCCCTTCCAGTGCCTGAAAGGGCTCCAAGAGAGACAGAGAGGGACTTGGGACAAGGGATGGAGGAACAGGACTATGGCCTTAAACTGAAGGAGGGCAGGCTTAGATTGGATATTAGGAAGAAATTCTTGGCTGTGAGGATAGGGAGGCCCTGGCACTGGTTGCCCAGAGAAGCTGAGGCTGCCCCTGGATCCCTGGAAGTGTCCAAGGCCAGGTTGGACAGGACTTGGAGCAACCTGGGATAGTGGAAGGTGTCCCTGTCCAGGGCAGGGAGTTAGACTGTATGATCTTTAAGTTGCCTTCCAGTCCAAACCACGCTGGGACTCTCTGAAACCCAGACAGCAGGAAGACCTCCTGCAACCCCTTCCCCATGGCCTTGCCATGCTCCACGCTCCTGTAGCGTCTTTTCTTGTCTGCTTCACTTCCCAGGTGCAAGTGTGGGACACAGCTGGCCAGGAGAGGTTTCGGAAGAGCATGGTGGAGCACTACTACCGCAACGTGCACGCCGTGGTCTTCGTGTATGACGTGACCAAGATGAGCTCCTTCACCAACCTCAAGACGTGGATCGAGGAGTGCAACGGGCACGCGGTGCCCCCGCTCGTCCCCAGGGTGCTCGTGGGGAACAAGTGTGACTTGAAGGACCTGATCCAGGTGCCATCCAGCCTGGCCCTCAAGTTCGCCGACGCTCACAACATGCTTTTGTTTGAGACCTCGGCCAAGGACCCACAGGAAAGCCAGAACGTGGACGCGATTTTCATGTGCCTGGTGTGCCGGCTGAAGGCGCAGCGCTCGCTGCCCTGCCGGGACACGGAGGGCTGGCCGGCGCAGCCCCAGCAGCAGCCCCGGCGGCTGGACGAGGCCAGCGGGAAGGGCTCCTGCCCGTGCTGAGCGGGACCCGCCCGGACCCCAATAAAGGCTCTGAGCCCCCTGCGCTCCGACTCTTGCTTTGCGCCTCAGCCCGGTCGGCCGTAACCGTCTGTGATCGGTTCGGCTCGGCCACAATCGGCCCGGTTCGGCTCGGCCCCAATCGGCCCGGTTCGGCGTGCAGCGTTCGGCTGCAATCGGGCTGCAATCGGCCCGATTCGGCTGCAGTCGGCCCTGTTCGGCCGTGCTCGGGCTATCTCGGTAATGATTTTCCTGACTCGGTTACAATCGGCTCGACTTGGCCCCATTCGGCTATAATCGGTCGACTCGGCTGCTATCGGCTACGTTCGCCTCGGGGCGGGGCGGGGCGGTGCCGCGCGCAGGCGCAGTGCGCGCTGCCGCCGCCATGAAGTAGGTGTGGGGGTGTGGGAGCGCAGGCCGGGCCCGGTTCTGTCCCGCCGGTGCCGGGGCTGACGGTGCCTCGCCCGCAGCCCCCTGACGAAGGTGAAGCTGATCAATGAGCTGAACGCGCGGGAGGCGGAGCTGGGCGTGCAGGAGGCGGTGTCGTGGCACGCGGAGTACAAGGACAGCGCTTGGATCTTTGTGGGTACGGACCGGGCTAGGGGCGGGGACCGGTGCCGGTACCGGTGCTGTTGACCCGTTCCTTCCCTTCGCTCTCCCGCAGGCGGGCTGCACTACGCGCTGACCGAGGGTGATGTCATCTGCGTGTTCTCGCAGTAAGTGCCGCAGCCCCGGCCCCGCCGCCGCCGGCGCTGCCGCGGTGCTGACGCTGTGTGTGTGTCACAGGTACGGCGAGGTCGTCAACATCAACCTCGTGCGCGACAAGAAGACCGGGAAGTCCAAGGGTTTCTGCTTCCTGTGCTATGAGGACCAGCGAAGCACCATCCTGGCTGTGGATAACTTCAATGGGATCAAGGTGAGTGGAGCTCAGGCGCTGCCGGGGCTCCCCGGGTGCTCCCTCCCGTGGGCAGCAGCCCGGGGCGCCGGGAGCCGGCGGTGACAGCCCGGCCCCGCAGATCAAGGGACGGACTATCCGCGTGGACCACGTGGCCAACTACCGGCCCCCCAAGGAGTCTGAGGACTGGGATGACGTGACGAGAGCCCTCCATGCCAAGGGCTGCGGGGTCAAAACGCCGCCCCACACCTCGTCCGACTCCGCGTCTGAGGATGAGGATGTGCTCGTGAAAAAGCAGAAAGGTAAGGAGTGTTCCTGGCAGGCTGGATCCTAGGTGGATGTGCCCATGGTAGGGTTTGGGGGCTGGAGTCTGTGTGGAGAGAAGGTTGGAGAAACAAAAGTGGGCGCAAAATGGGGATGGGAATAAGATGTTGCTACAGAGTGCTGAGGAGATGCTCAAAAATGAGGGAGAAGGAGAGTCATGAGGGAAGAGTCCTCAGGTCTGGAGAGGTAATTTTCACAAAGTGGATCACATTATTACTGAGGAAGGGGAATGAAAGGGAAGTTGGAAATTCTCAGCATTCCAAGTGGTGTGGAAATGCCCAGAGTTGCTGGGAAGAATGTGATGTGAATGTTAAAGAGAGAAGTGGGGTGTGTGCAGCTGGAGGAGAAAAAGTTGTGATTGGAAGTGAACTGGGGTCACCCTGAGGGGGAAGCAGGCTGGGAAATTGGGTGGAGGGGGAGAATTTGTAATGGAAGATGAGCCGGGATGGTGCCAGGGGAGCCATGGGGAGCAAGCTGCTCCTGGAGTTTGGTCCACCCGAAATGTGAACCCTAATTCCAGAGAAACAACAGAGCAGAGCAGAACGGTCCAAGTCGAGCCCGCAAGCTGGGAAGCGGGTGAGCACGGAGGAGCCCCATTCCAGGATCAAGATCAAGAAGGAGAAGGAGGACCCGGGGTACGAGCGCTATGCTGGCGGGAGCGCCAGCAGGAGCGCCGGGGGAGCAGGACGCAGCGGGATGAGGAGCAGCGGCGGCACCAGCGGCACTCGGACAGCAGGGGCGACAAGAACTGCCGCGAGCAGAGGGGCCAGAGCGGCTCCTGGGAGGAGCGGGAGAAGAGGGAGGAGGCTGGCAGGAGGGGCGACGGGCACAGCAGCCGGCAGGACGCGTCCCCCAGGGGAGGCAGGTCTCGGGAGCCCCATTCCCGGCACAGGGAGCGGGGCTCTGGCAGAGACTCCGGTCGCTGCTGAGCCCTGGGTGAGCATTTGGGGTGACGGAGGCTCTGAGCCTGCCCAAGCCTGCTCCAAGCTCCTGGGATGCCATGGCTGGACCTTTCACCTGGGAGCTTCCCCCTTGCCTCTCATCCCACCCTTGGCCAGGGCTCTCCATGCTCCCTGTGCTGCTGGCTGGGACAGGGGCCTGTCCTTCCACTGGGAAGGGTGTCAAGCAGCGAAGGCTGGGAGCAGCAGGATGCTCCCCTTCCCTAAATCCCTTGGGGTGGTGTCCCCCTCTTGCACCGGGGGCAGAGGCCGGGTGTCCCGTCTGGCCTCGTGGGCTGGGTTTGGGTCCTGTGCCCACCCAGCATCTTCTGGATTCTGTGATGAATCCATAGGGCTGCACCGCTGTGGTTGGGGTGATTTATTATGGATTTGTTTAAAGGTTTCTTAATAAAAGTTCCTGATAGGGAGAAGCTGGTCCCGAGAGCAGTGTTCCTGTCTGGGGTCAGGGAGGTGGTGTCATTTGTTTTTCTTACGCTGATTTTAGGCTTATTTGGCTGGAAAACCAGGAACGACGGAGTGTGGGATTCGCAGGGCGGAGAAGGGAGGGGCTTTAGCTGGATTTGGTTCCTGTAACGAGTGATCCCTCCGGTCCGGGTCCGTGCCGCTTCTGGGCGCAAGGGGGAATTTCCTCCCCGGAGCAGCCGGGCCCGCTCCGAGGCAGCCCCTGCGGCCCCCACCGTCCCCGCGCGGTGCCGGCAGGGGGCAGGCGCGGCGCGGCGGTGCAGGGCCCGGTTCCGGTCGCGGTTCCGGTTCCGGTCCCGGCTCGGTGGCGGCGGCGCGCGCGGCGGTGTCCGCCCGCCATGCGATGTCCGCGCTCAACTGGAAACCCTTCGTGTATGGCGGGCTCGCCTCCATCGTGGCCGAGTTCGGTGAGGCGCAGGGGCGGGGCGGGACCGGGACGGGCGGGACCGGCAGTGTACCGGCGGGCGCTGAGGCCGGTGTCCCCGCCATTCTCGCAGGCACGTTCCCCGTGGACCTCACCAAGACGCGTCTGCAGGTGCAGGGCCAGAGCACCGACGCGCGGTTCCGCGAGGTGCGGTACCGGGGCATGTTCCACGCTCTCTTCCGCATCTGCCGCGAGGAGGGCGGACGGGCCCTGTACTCGGGGTGAGCACCGGGGCCGGGGCCCATCGGCCGCGGGTGCCGCTTCCCCGGGGCCCAATCCATCCGTATCGGGACACCCACCCACCTGCCACCCGGCCCGGCGCCTCCTTGCACCCACCCGGGCCTCCCCGGCGCCTGCCCCGGCTCCTTCTCCTCTGGCTCAGGAGCTCCCACCGCCTGTGCTGGGCTCCCTCTTCGGCCGCAGCATCGCCCCGTCTGTCATGTTCGCCCCCACCAGCCCGTCCCAGGTTTCCCCTGCATCTCGGCATCTCCCTCCGCCCAGCCCAGGCCCTCCCACTGCTCACCCCGGGACCCCTCCCACACCCCGGCATCTCCGCCTGCCTTCCCCGGGTCTCCCCCACCCATCCCGGGTTCTTCCCCCCTGCCCGGCCCTGCCCTGCCTCTTTCCCGGCAGCCCCTCCCCAGCCCGGGTCCCCTCTTCCACCTTCTGTCCCGGCATCCCTCTGCTCCCTGCCCATCCCGGCCCCCCATTTCCTGGACGCTGCTGTGAGCCCCTGGATCCCTCCCTGCCTCGTCTCCCTGAGCGGAGTCCCCCGGTGTTCCCGAGGGGGGGAGCAAGGCCAGGGCTGTGTGGGCGCCATCCCCTGGCACTGGGCTGCGTGGGGAATCCCGAGTAACCCGGGCAGAGCTGCATTCTTGGAGCCCCAGCGGGTTTGGGTTGTGCCTGGCCCCGCAGTTTGAGGGCGGGTGGGAGTGGCCCGGGCTGGCCCGCAGGGATGCTCAGGGTCCATTCCCCCTCAGGATCGCCCCGGCACTGCTGAGACAGGCGTCCTATGGCACCATCAAGATCGGCATCTACCAGAGCCTGAAGCGGCTCTTCGTGGATCGCATGGAAGGTCGGTGTTGGGGAAGGGCAGCACGGGCACCTCCCAGCTCCCCTGCCTCACACTCTGGGCACCTCCCAGCTCCCCTGCCTCACACTCCGGGCTGTGTGTTTTGCTCATTCCTTGCTCTGTCCTTTCCACCCCAAGATTCCCACAGGAATGGAGCTCCATTACTGGATGCTGTGGTTTTATTTGTCAGGGAGAGCAAGGATTGGATTCAATCCTGATGGGAACCTCACTGTGCTCTGCACTGCCTGTGGCTCCTACCCAAACATCTCCTTCCAGCCAGGTTTCTTCCTTTCACAGAATCGTAGGAGAATCACAGAATCCTTTAGGTTGGAAAAGACCTGAGTCTGGTCCCCATCTTGTTCCCAGGCGAGAGTGCTGAGTGCCACATCCAGTCCTTCCTTGGACACCTCCAGGGGTGGGGACTCCAGACCTCCCTGGTTAGCCCCTGCCAAGGCCTGACCCCCCCCCTTTCCATGAAGAAATTCCTCCTGATGTCCAACCTGAGTCTCCCCTGGCACAGCCAGGCATATTCTGCATAGGAATTGTGCAGTCCAGCTCTCTGGCTTTGGCCCTGCCTGTAAAGGTGAGGTTTTACCAGTGCCCTTGACCTGAGCCCTCTGCAGCTCCTGCCTGGGGAGTGGAGCAGCAAGAGTCTGGTGGATGTTCCCTGAGGGAGCACTGAGATCTGCAGGTGAGATTTCCATCCCTGCTGTGATCTGAGGGAATGGTGTAACACCGTTCCAGCCTGGGAAAGCGGGATGGGCAGGGGAAATGCAGCACACTAACGATACCGAGCTGTCTCAGGGGAGCTTTAGGTTGGTATCAGGAGAAGGTTTTTTCCCAAGAGGGTGCTGGGGCACTGCCCCAAGGTTTCCAGAGCTCCAGGAGCATTTGGACAGCACTCCCAGGCACAGGGTGGGATTGTTGAGGTGTCTGTGCCAGGTCAGGAGTTGGATTGGATGATCCTTGTGGAACCCTTCCATCTCAGGAGATTCTGTGACTCTAGAGGTCCTTTCAGGGCTGCTGTCCTGCTTTAGTAAGGCCTCTCCCTGCCTGGTTCTGGCTGTGTACACAGTCCCCACACCCCCCCTTGCTGTTGCAGCCTTTTCAGCTGTGAGCTCCATGCCTGAATGTTTGTCTCCCTACAGGCCTGGGGCAGCCAGTGGCCTGGTGTCCTCTGGGAAGTGTCGTGGTCAGTACCAGCAAAGGCCTGTGTGTTTTCCCAATGTAACCATCATCCTAACTCTGGGCCTGGAATCTGGGTTATTCCCTGGCACTAATCACATCTAACTCCCTGCCTGCTCTTGATTCTCAGCTGGCTCCAAGTGGCTGCGTGTAGGCAAATCCAGGGGGCCTGGGGAAACACTGGGCTGTCCCTCTCTGTCTGCCTCTGTCCTGGCTCGTCCCTGCAATGAGAAATCTCAAATAATTGCTCACAATTTTCACGTGTCCAGTGATTTTCCTTCTCATCAGTCAGACCCTTTGAGAGTGCATTGCTGAGTGTTTCAGCTACCGCCTTCTGTCCCTGACAGATGTGGGGACAGACCTGTCACGGGCTGTGGCACCTGCCCAGGCCCTGCTCCTGCAGCTTCACCGTCTGATTTGAGAACTGAACTGCTCTACCCAGCCTTGTGTGCCCCCTCCTGTGAGGGTCTGACCTTCTTTCCTTGGTTGCAGATGAAACGTTGCTCATCAATGTGATCTGTGGGGTGGTCTCGGGGGTCATCTCTTCTGCACTGGCCAATCCCACAGATGTGCTGAAGGTAAGGGCTGGCTGTGGGACCCGTGGGAGGAGCAGCTCAGTGCTCCCTGAGCCACCAGTTCTGCTTGTTTGGGTTTTTTTAATGAATGGGGACCAAAGCCCTGGGTCATTAATAGATGTTTAAAAACGCAGCTCTTAGAGATCTCAGAATCCTGGACCGGTTTGGGTTGGGACAGACATGAAAAACCATCTCCTTCCACCTCCTGCCACGGGCAGGGACACCTCACACTAGAGCAGGGTGCTCCAAACCCTGTCCAACTTGGCCTGGAACACTCCCAGGGATGGAGCAGCCACAGCTTCTCTGGGCAATATGACATTTGTGCTGGTGAGGGGTGGGAGCTGTGTTATCTGACCTGGGCCAGGTGAGCCAGCTGCTCCTGTCCCCTGGGTCACGGTGCTGGCACTGCCCCAAGGGCCTGTCTGTGACATGGAGTGAGCAGAGCCCAGTGGGGACTGCCTGGTGCCCTGGGCTCAGGGTACTCCTGCTCTGGGCAGAGAGAGCCTGGAGAACCTCCCCAGTCTTCTCCCTGTAGATCCCCCTTCTGGGACTGCTTTCCGGGGGAAGGCCTTGTTCCTCATGTTCCTGTGCCCCCACCCTGCCCCTGCCTGCTGCTGTCCTTGTTGGTGTGGTTTGCAGGGAGAGGGACGTGGAGAACAGTGTGTGCTCTGAGCTGCTCTGTTCCTTCTCCCAGGAGTCCCATGGAGCTGCTGTCCCTGGTGTCCTTGTCCTGTGGCCAAGTGCTGGTGTAGATGTCTGCCTGCTGACTCTTCCCTTTCTTTCAGATCCGAATGCAGGCTCAGGGCAGCTTGTTCCAGGGCGGGATGATCGGCAGCTTCATTGACATCTACCAGCAGGAAGGCACCCGAGGCCTCTGGAGAGTGAGCACCAACTCCTAGAATCCTCCAGCAGCAGCAGAACTAAGACAAATCTTAGGGAAGCAGGTGCTCTCCTGCTGCTCTGTAGCAAGGAACACCTGGAGCCCCTCCTGGCCCCTTAAACTGCTGCTCTTGTGGGACACAGTCTTTTCTGGTGTTGAAATTGTGCAGAAGGTGAGGGGGTGACAGCCTAGTTCCCACGTGCTGGTGCTGGGAGCAGGGAGGCAGCGTGGAGTTAATCCTGCTGGAATAACCCTGCCAGGGTGGAGTTATCCTCATTGGCTTTGAAGCAAAGCTGGGAAGCAGGTGGTGTGCTTCCAGGGAGGCTGTCAGGAGAGGGAGCTGGGGCATGGCTGCAGTTGGTGACAGTGTCTGTGCTGCACAGGGTGTTGTCCCCACGGCCCAGCGAGCGGCCATCGTGGTGGGGGTGGAGCTGCCAGTCTACGACATCACCAAGAAGCATCTGATC